CCAAACATGAGTAATCAAGATACCTCTTTGAGATTAGGATTTATCAAATCCTAATTCATGTAGAAATTCTATAAACTGCACTGAATTACAGTTATTATGTGTATCTTTTCATCTCAATTTTGTAGTCTTGCCCAAAAAACCAACATCCCATGTTATTACTGCCCTCATTACTGTCAGATTCTTGCAAGACTGTGGCATATTGAAGCCACAGGATAGTTTTCCAAGAGCAAAGTAGTTTATGTCCATGCATTGTAATCCAACTTTAGAGTCACAGAAGTATCCTGCAAAGTTTTCCCTGAGTAAAAAAAAAAAAACCAAAGGTTTGGTTCCAACTTTGGGGAGAATGTGAGGGTTTTTAACAGAAGTTAGGCCTTATTGATAGGAAAAGAGGCAATGATGTAGGAAGCTTTTGCCCTGAATTGCTGCACAGCTCTGTATCTTCCTACTCCCTTAATTTTGTGAGGTTTAACAAAGAAAAGCCATGCAAGTTTCCATATTCTTGAGTATTCCAGGCTATGAAGCATAGGGAGCACGTGTTTCTCATCACTAAAGACAGCCGCAGGTATTATACATGGGACGATTAAACATTTAGTCAGTGAGATACAAGTTAAAAACAGAGGAATATGGAAGGTGACTGGGCAACTTTCAATAAAGCAAGAGTCAGTACAAAATAGGCGTAATTTATTACTCAAGATACTGCTCAATCCCCCAAACATGCAGTTTTCATTGCACCCAGAACATTAGCAGGGAAAAAAAAGGCCTGTCTCAAGATAAAGCACTAATAGCTTTATAAGTTTTTATATACTTAGGATTTTATCACATTGGGCTAGCGCTGCCATCAGACAAGGTGTCACTACAAATAGTACTATTTAGTATTATTTAAAATAATAGTATTATTTAAAAATAATAAAAACAATTAATGCATTAGAAAGTCACTTTGTTTTCAGACTCAGCAAGAAAATGCTTCAACAGTAACATTCAAAGTGTGTTTGTTACAACTAAAGTGGTTACAAAACCTTTTCTCTCAAATGAAAGCTCAGTTTCAAAGATTTGACATTACCAGAAACATCAAAAAGCTAGGGAAAGCACAGGAAGGGGGGAAAAAAAAAAAAAAAAAAAAAAAGAGGAGAATGCAGCTGGCCATGATACTCTGCAGAGAAAGATTACAAACTGCTTTTTTGTTAACATTACAGTTAGAAAAAATGCCAACTCCTGAAAATATTTAAAAACCAAAACCCCAAACTATTTTTCATGATGAACAAACCCACAACTCAGGAGCCACTTTTAGCCCATTTTTACTTTACTTTAGCTCAGGGACAATAAAAGGTGGAAAGGGAAATTTTTGTTGCAGTTGGTTGAACATCCCAACCTGGGAAAAAAACCAGGCGTCAGCCTCACACAATCAGTATGCCGCCCAACAGCAGCTCACGCATATTTTATCTTACTTATTTAATATTCTACTTATTAGAAAGCAATTACACCCATTCTTTACCTGTAAACAGCAATTGCGGCACGAATTATGCTCAGTTGCCTCCTCTCTGGCTTGGGGTGCGTTTCCCTTTACAGAAAAGTCAGGAAAGCCTCCCAGAGAGGGGCATTTTCCTCCTCTCTCCCTCTTTATGGAAATCTCCTGAGAAACTCCACCTTTCGGGGAGGAGCTGACAAGAACCAGACAGGACAGCTAAGCCAGGGGGAGATTTACAGGCCTACCCGTTCAAAAATAGAGCCTGGACGTTGATGTCTCCCCAGTGAGTCAAATTCATCGGGATTAGTTTTTAGATTAAAGCCTGAGGAAGAGCCCTCTCCACTCAACAGGAATACTTGCCAAGCGGGAGCTTGCTTTGTCATATGGCTACCAATTAATGGCGTGTACTACTAAATATTGGAATTTCTTTGTCCAAAACTCTGCATTGTTTATGAACTTGGAAGCTTGTTTGGGGACATAAGTTAAAATAATACATTATGGATTACACTGTAGATTTTCTCAGTTTCAAGGTAGAGACAATTGCACGGAAAGTGAGTTTTGGAGGCTGCGCTTTATTGCACGGCTACAAACAGAAGAGTGAAAAAAATTAGTAATGGTATCCAGATTCCCAGTCTGCGTAAGTGAAATCACATTTTTCTGAGGAGCATCATTTGTAGCATTTCACACGAAAGAGGCGTACTCCTTAAGCCTGCTCCCCACTTCAATATACAAATTGCGGGGTTTTCTTGGCTGTTCTGCCAAGCGCTTTGACTCACAAACCCCACTGGATCTCGCTGCAGCGAGTTTATTAACTCCCCTCGGCAGCCAATACAAATTTCGACAGAGATCATAAATCAGAGCCTTCAGCCCCAGCAGGTCACAGCCCAGCGTACCATTAGAAGTGGAAATCGGTGGAACTGTACGTTAATACACCAGGCTGTGACCTACAGCTGACCCTTCTCCGTTCTCCTGGAGCAGGGGGGTGCTGGTGGATGAAAAGCTGGACATGAGCCGGCAATGTGCGCTGGCAGCCCAGAAGGCCAACCGCACTCTGGGCTGCATCAAGAGAAGCGTGGCCAGCAGGTCGAGGGAGGGGATTCTGCCCCTCTACTCTGCTCTGGTGAGACCTCACCTAGAGTACTGCGTCCAGCTCTGGAGCTCTCAACACAAGAAGGACATGGAAGTGTTGGAGCAGGTCCAGAGGAGGGCCACAAAAATGATCCGAGGGCTGGAGCACCTCTCCTGTGAGGACAGGCTGAGGGAGTTGGGCTTGTTCAGCCTGGAGAAGAGAAGGCTGCGGGGAGACCTGATTACGGCCTTTCAGTACCTAAAGGGGGCCT